TCATCTGTCAATGGATGTTTGGGTTGCTTCCATCTCTTGGCTACTGTGAATAATGTTGCTATGAAATGGGTGTGCAAATATTTCTTTGAGACCCTGCTTTCATTTCTCTTGGATATACACCCAGAAGTGGGATTGCTGGATCATATGGTGATTCTATTTTTAATTTTCTGAGGAATCACCATCCTGTTTTCCATAGTGGCTGCACCATTTTACATTCCTAACAGCAGTGCCCAAGAGTTCCAATTTCTCCCCATCCTTGCCAACACTTATTTTCTGTTTTTCTTTGTTTGTTTGTTTTGTTTTGTTTTTGCCACATGGGGCCATTTTATTGCAGTTAAATACTTCTCTATNCAGAGCCTGCCCCCTGGTGGTCACGAGGGAGAGCCGCTAATTTCAACCTGCACCATCCGTCTCCTCCCACACAACGTCCCCCTTTCCAAACCAGATCCGGGCAATCTCCTCAGGACTCCCCCGGCCTGGCTCACCCTCACACTGCCTGCCAGTCCTGAGTTCCTCCTGCTTCCCTATCCTCAGGCCCTCTGTGGCCTCGGGGCCCACAGCCAGCGCTGCCCACACCCGACTCCAGGGACCCTTGTCCTGCTGGTCTCATTCCAGAGGCTGAGACAGAGTGCGGGCCCTGCATCCTTTTAGGATTGCGGGAGCCCCAGGGCCCTACCCCCTGTCCCATGAGAGGCAGACGGGGTCAGGTGGGTTGGAGAGGCCAGGAACAGAGCGTCCTGGTCATTACCTGGGAGACTGGGCCACAAGCTTGTTCTCTGCCCCCTCCGGGCCTCTTCTGCAGAGGCTGAGGGTCAGAGCCCATCAGGAAGGTGAACCTCTGCCCAGGAGTCCTTTGCCTGGAGCTCCTGCGGAAGGTCTAGGAAAGGGCCTGAGTGGGTGGAGCCCAGATCAAACTGGGGAGTCTCCAGGGCCTGGTGCTGAGCCAGGAGGGCAAAGGTACAGTTAGTCTGGGGGTGCAGAGAAAGGACAGAAGGTTGGACTTTCATGCTTTGCGAGGGAGGGGTGTGCCTAACCCTCTGCTCCCCCGTCCCCGCATACCCACCCGCCCACTCCCTGGAGGACTAGGGGACTAAGAATGCTTTCTCTGAGAAGGCGGCGAGATGGGGCCTGAGATGGTTTCTGCCTGTAACTTCGCCTTGCAGATTAGTCAAGGCCTTAGGGCACATGACAGTCCCCTGGGGCCCTATCCCAGCCATTCCTGGTCACCACAACATTGTGACATCTGAGCTCCAGGAGGCTGGAAACAAAGCTGGCTCTGGCAGAGTGGTTAACTCTGCTTTTGGCTTCAGAGGTGGCTCTGTTCCTCTCAGGAACAAGGAGTGTGGGCCTGCTGTTTAGTCCACAGCAGGTCGTGTCTGTGACTACCTGACCCTGTGGATGACCCTCAGGGTCCTACCTGCCCAGCCCTGGCACCATCCCTATGCCTGGGCAACTCTTTCCCCACATCCTGCATTAGCACCCCTCCTAGGCCACTACTGACAGAGGACCCAGCTACACCGGATCACCATGACCTTGAAGGCCCTGGCTGCTGGTGCCAGCTCCAGTGGTTGCCATGGCACCCCAATACTTTTGCAAGCAAAGGCCAAACAACTAGAGTCCACCTGGCAGGCGGCTGCTGCTGTTGCCACTGCTGCCCCAAAGGACATGGGCACATTCAGAGGGGT